GATGGCGTCGATTTCGTCAAAGAAGATAATGCAGGCCTTCTTCGTCCGCGCCATCTCGAAAAGCTCGCGCACCATTCTCGCACCCTCACCGACGTACTTCTGAACCAGTTCACTGCCGATGACTCGGATGAAGGTGGCGTCCGTTCTGTTGGCGACGGCTCGGGCGCAGAGGGTCTTGCCGGTACCGGGGGGTCCGTACAGAAGGGCACCCTTCGGGGGGTCGATACCGAGGTTGACAAACCGCTCCGGCGAGAGGAGGGGCATCTCGACGACCTCGCGCAGCTTCTCAACCTGCTCCTTTGATCCACCAACATCTCCGTATGTAACATCGGGCTTCTCCTCGACCGTCATCATCGTAACGCTGGCATCGATCTTGGGCGGGAGCGGCAGAAGGATCTGGTACTTGTTCCGGTCGACACCGACTCGCATGCCCTCCTCGATATCCGTGGGGCTCACTCTCTCGCCGAGCTGGACGACGAACTTGGCGATCTGCTTGACGTTGATGACGTATTTGCTCTTGGAGTCGTCCTTCTCGTCGGGGATTATCTTCGTACACCGCGCGACCTGAAGAGGCTGTTCTTCCGACATGCGTTGCCGGTCTGCTGCTACGTCCCAGAGGTGAGGAGGGGCAAGACCCGTGTCGGATTCCTAGTCAAGTCAGATCGAGTTTTATCCACCCGGGACGGCACAGCTACCTTCACACCAATCTTCTCGTCTACGCTTGTTTGCTTCTCCTTGATCTGTTGCTCGAGCTTCTTGATGGCAGCACCGTACGGAGCGGCGCCGTAAGTCTTCAGCACTTGGATATCTCTGAGCAGTGTTAGTCGACAATCCCGCGCAACCCGAGCCCGATGGAACAACGAACTCATCGGTCAATGGTGTGATCTTCTTCTCTTCGACCTCATCATCGGCGTAGGTCTTCTGGTATTTCTCCCAGTTCTGGCCGGTAGCGGAAGGCTAATGCTGGGGTTAGTACCCGCCGTCGGTGGCCATGCGTGCAGGGTCCATACCATGATGTAGGATGAGGACTGAACGTCCTACTGCCGATTCTTTGTGTGGGGTGGGCTCTTTTGGGTGTTTTCGGGTTGATAGCTGTTTCGATGTGAAATCGTGGGGTCTCGAGGAAGTGGTCGCGTTGGTCGTCAATGAGTAGAGAGGTATGCTGCTGGGGGTGGGTTCAAGGTGGTGATGGAAGACGGTTCCGTAATCCAGGTTGCCTTGAGCTCCAAAGCACGGACCACAAATGCGAGGCTGCTGTGGAGCTAGGCTGGTTGGGGGAAAATGCAAACAGAGTACCGGGGCAGGAACAACCTGGCGCCCGCTAAAAAATATCCCACCGCTGGGGGGTTGCTACCTGAGAGAAAGTGGGCGATCGCAAAAGAAGGCGACAGCGGGACAGGACTACGAAGATACCGATACCTTCCCACCCTGTGTTCAGCTTGCTCTTCCGACCTCGACATCCTCAAAAACAAGCACCACACAAGCCAGAATCGTCAACATGGCCACAACTGCACCACCCCCGGCCGCGGGAGGCTCTGGAAATGCCACCTTCAAGGTACGACCTGCGCACCGCCCATGACGAAGCTTCAGGAGCTATTGCTAATAGCCGTATAGGACAAGGAGAAGCCTGTCGCTGTCCGCTCTTCCAACATTGTTGCTGCCAGAGGTGAGCAATGCGGACCCCTCTCGAGCTTCATAAACCAGAAGCTAACTTCCCACTAGCCGTCGCCGATGCCATCCGAACCTCCTTGGGCCCCCGCGGCATGGACAAGATGATTCGTAGCGGAAAGGGCGAGACTATCATTACCAACGACGGAAACACGATGCTCAAGAGCATGTCCGTCATGCACCCGACAGCGAAGATGTTGGTTAATCTCTCGGCGGCACAGGATGTGGAGGCAGGAGATGGCACAACATCCGTGGTCGTCATCTGCGGTAGCTTGTTGGGTGCTGCAGACAGACTCTTGTCAAAAGGAATCCACCCTTCCGTTATTTCAGAGGCTTTCCAGAGAGCTGCTGCCGCAGCCGTCGAGATTCTCCACGGCATGTCACAACCCATCTCTCTCACCGACACAGCATCCCTGCTTCAGGCAGCCAACACATCCCTTTCCTCGAAGATCGTGTCGCAATACTCCAACATCCTCGGCCCCATGGCTGTCAACTCCGTCGTGAAGACCATCGACCTCAAGACGGCAGACAACGTCGACCTGAAGAACATCCGGATCGTCAAGAAGGTTGGCGGAACTATCGAGGACAGTGAGCTGTCGGATGGTTTGATCCTGACGCAGCCTGTCCTCAAGGGTGCGGGTGGTCCTGCGAGAATCGAGAAGGCGAGAATCGGTTTGATCCAGTTCCAGCTCAGCCCTCCCAAGCCCGATGTACGTTTTCCCCCCTCCGATGCCCCTTTTCGCAGCTGCTGACCAATCAAGATGGAAAACACCATCCAGGTGAACGACTACAGGCAGATGGACAAGATCGTGAAGGAAGAGCGTCTTTACCTCCTCAACATGGTCAAGAAGATCAAGAAGGCCAAGTGCAACGTCCTTTTCATCCAGAAGTCCATCCTCCGCGATGCTGTCAACGACCTCTCTCTCCACTTCCTTGCCAAGCTTGGCATTCTCGCCGTCAAGGATATCGAGCGTGACGAGATTGAGTTCATCTGCAAATCCACCGGCTGCAAGCCGATTGCGGACGTCGATTCCTTCACGGAGGACAAGCTCGGCTCGGCCGACCTCGTCGAGGAGATCCAGTCCAACGGAGCTCGCATGGTGAAGGTTACGGGCGCCAAGGCGACTGGCAAGACCGTGTCTGTCGTCGTTCGTGGCGCCAACTCCCTCATTCTTGATGAGGCGGAGCGCAGTTTGCACGATGCCCACTGCGTCGTCCGCTGCTTGGTGAAGAAGAAGGCTCTGATTGCCGGTGGTGGTGCTGCCGAGATCGAGATCGCGTCCCAGCTCTCCAAGCGGGCTCGTGAGCTCACCGGCACTGAGGCCATCTGCTGGAAGGCTTTTGCCGATGCTATGGAAGTCATTCCTACCACACTGGCTGAAAACGCCGGTCTCAACAGTATCAAGGTTGTGACCGAGCTTCGCCACAGGCACGAGCTTGGTGAGAAGAATGCGGGTGTCAGTATCAAGTCTGGCGGCGTCAACACCAACATCTCCAAGGAGAACGTGCTGCAGCCCCTGTTGGTAAGCACCAGCGCCATCGAGTTGGCCGCTGAGACGGTGAAGATGATCCTCAGAATAGACGACATCGCCCTCACGAGATAAAGGGGAGGACATGAGTCACGAAATGAAAACAAAAGTAAAAGGGGAAATCCAGGCTTGATGATCATGTACATTACGGCTACCTTGGCTTGATTGCGGTGTAGACGTGGGCCTGGAATTGAGGCGTCAAAACTATTAGAAGCTGAGAGAGCAATTGATCACAACAAGATACCTTGATGACACCTCAACTTTGGTTCCAAATTGTTTCTTGTCGTCTGTGGCTGTCATTCCTGTGCAACCCGTATGTGATAGGCAATGCTGTGATCCTATGTCATTCGACGTCTTGGGCCGAAAGGTGCCTCGGTCATCATACCTCACTTGCAGGCTTGCAAGCATTGTGGCCATTCGGTAGCGCTAATTTCTTCTCATCAATCGTATTAGGGAAGGGCCATTCATTCCAGCCCTTTGTCGCCAGGGAAAGTAATAAAAAGGGTGCTGTCACATTATAATATGTAACATCCCATTTCCTATCAGCGGCGTCGTATACTGCCTCGATTCTGAGTTTGCTCGCGTATATTGTCACCATTTACAAGAGGCCTATCACCTATGACGTATGACTGAGGAAGAACACATCACAATCGACAAGCTGAGCTCACCTATCGGTTTGTGTACGGTGGCCAACCTCTAGGTTATGAGTCCTGCTTAGTCTGGAGTCACGGTGTCGACCTATCCCTTGAGCGTGTTGAAACGACGAGGGACGCTTGACACATTTTCGCTGGCAGTGAAAGGAATCAATGAGGCTGACGGAGGGAAGACCACTCTGTGAGACTGTCGCTGGTTACAATGTGAAGATTTAGGATATATGTATCAAGTCCATCTCGAGGTTGCGCACAGGTCGGATGAAGCCTTACACCTGTGCCTCTTCTCACACAAAATGGCTTCACCGTACATGATATTACATAAGGCGACCAATGCCTCATGTTCCTGTATCATCGGCAGGCATACTACTTGTATTGTTGTCTCAATGTTCCCTCGTACCGACCCGACGTAAATACTCTTTCTTGAACATTGCCTGTATCCCCGGCGTCGCAACAAGCTATAAAATATGCAAAGGTCGAATAGACATGAATCGTACGGGCAGATACCTCTCCATAGGTATGTCAAGGGCACTACGGCTGTCACTTTCCGTCACTTTACTAAAGCGTTCGTAGATGATAATGGCGTCTCGGACATACTGCATGACAAGTCAAAGTTGTGGGCATTGGACTGATTTCTGTGCCAAGTTCATACGACATGTGTGGGCTTGATTGAGCCTAGAGTATGAGTTTACAGCGCAGTCTTGCAGGAAATTTGCCTCCATAGGACTGAAGTCTTACACTGAAGCTTCCCTCCTACATACAAGAATCGACTCAGTTTAACACAACATTTGCCGTCTACATTATATTATGTATAGTAATCTAGGAGCGAGCCACACAGTACATAGCACGGTTTTTAGTCATACACAGCATACTATCGAGATCTAGAAAGAAAAAAAAGAAAAAAAAGATCGAGTACGAAAGTTCGACGGCGTTGAGGTATATGGCTAGAACAGGTGGGAAGAGGGGATTCAAAATTTTCCAACGACAAGCATCACTTCACGTGTAGGAGAAGGCTTTCAAAACGTTGGACAATAAGTCAATACTTCATTGTTGAAACCACAAACTGAAAAAAGAAAGAAAAAATAGGGTGTATCAATCGCGGACGGGAATTGAGCCCGACGTGGCTGGTTTTTGTTAGTTGAAATGTTCGTGATGCATCACGAATCGGGAATGCGCTTACGGGTCGAACCCACAACCTTGAGATTAAGAGTCTCACGCTCTACCGATTGAGCTAGCCGGGCAGGCTATTGAGGTTGGTGATCAAATCTCACGATGAGCCGGAATATGTTGGAAGGTGGTGAGTGGGTTATTGTGTGAAAAGATCCAAGGGCACGGAAACCCGCAATATGGGGCCGGTCTATCCCTCCGCATCCCGGTGTTGATCATGGGCTCGACCGACTTAAAGCATGGATTAGCCTGATCCGGATTCGATCTCCTGGTAATCATTCGAGGGCCTTCGTCAGAAATAAAGAAATAAAGTCCAAGTTATATAAGGGTTGGTAAATTACTGCTGTGAACTACCAATATGTCCAAGCCATATCCCGTTGACCTGCACAAAAGAATGAGGCCGAAGTCTTTCCTGTCTTGAGTTCCTTTCCCAACGCCAGAATGGTATATATATATCGATTTCCATCGATTCGATCAAGAGATCAAGAAAGGGTGTACAAAGCCAGCTCAGCTGAATCCAAAGAAAAAGGGTAAAATGGGGGGTTCTTTTCAGGAAAATATCGCATGCGTTTCAACATCTCAGCCACTCGCTACTTTCATAGTCATCGTATCAGTCGCGCCCTTTTCTATCTCGCTTGGCCAAAGGAGTACTGGTGTGGCGGTGGGCTCTTCACTGGCGCATCGGCGTAGGCCCCAGGAATCGGCACGGCGTCGTAGACCGGCTCGTCAGCAGCCATCGGCGCATGCTGCTGGGGCTGCTCCTGCGGTGATTGTTCTTGGTGCTGTGTCTGAGGCTGTTGCTGGAAAGGGAATGATGGAGCGGGGCCTTCTGGCGAAGTAGGCGTGAAGGAGCCTTGACCGGGCTTAGTCGCCGAGCGCGCCTTAGCCGGAGGAGCCTGGAGCTGGAAGGTGGACTTAGGCTTGTTGAAGCTGGACTCGGGCTCGACAAAACGGGTTCCGGGGGTGAAAGGGGAGGCCTCCTCAATGCGAGACAAGTTGTCAAAAGTCTTGTCGGGGTGGCGAGGTGACAGGGCATACTGGGAGTACAGGCCGGGCGACTTGAGGCCGGGAGTGTTCGGGGCGGATTGGGTTCGGAGCTGGGCGAGGTAGAGATCGGAACGGGCGCGGTCGCGCATGTCCATGGACTTGTGGAGGCGGCGCTTGGTGTAGTATCGGTAGAAAACGATGCTGTAGAGCAAGACGCAGATGACATCGATGACGATTTCGATGACCATGCAGATGAGGGCCCAGTTCTGGAGTCGGCAGATGAGGGCGTAGTCGACCTTCTCGCCAAAGACCTCGGCGCGCTTGTTCTCCTTGCAAGACCAACCCCACATGTCCTTGCCGCCGCCATTGCTTCGGCTTGACTGGAAGAGACCGGCAGCGACAGCCCACAGAACCATGGAAAGAATAAACCAGCCGATAGCGAAGAGGGTGTAGTAGGTGGCGACTTTCTCAGCACGATGATGACCGCCGCGACAGTAGGCTAGGAACACACCGATACAGACGACAAGAGAGATGGATGCCACTATACGTTGTTAGGGAGTGGAATCGAGTTTTCGAAGTGGTGTAAATACTTACTAGTAATAACCAGAACCTGGGGCCAGATGGCAGTGCCCTCAGCCCATGATGGGAGACCGCTTTGAGCAGGGAGGCGCTTGGTAGCGTTGAATATCTGGAAGGAAGCCGCAAGCATGGTGATGATGATCAAACTACAGCTGAAATTGACGCCACGAAGGGCGAATTTGGCCATGCGGACGCGGGTCTTGATTTTCTGTAGACATATTAGCAACGTATTGCTCAACAGGGAAGTGTGCCACATACCAGGTCGCGTGCTTGTTCCTTGTCAGTTGCCTCCTCGCGCTTCTCCAAAATATCTTCCTCTCGGAAGGTCGGGCTGAGCGGGTTCTCGATCTTCCTCGCTGGGGTCCCGGGAACCCTCATGGCGCTTTTAAGTGGTGATCTCGGAGTCATCGGGACGGCGACGGACTCGCGGTTGTTGCTGCTGTTGTTGATGTAACCGAACCCGATATCCCCAGGCTGAGACTGAGGCACTTCGGATCTGACGGGGTCGGCGAAGGGTGATCGAGTACCTTCCACAGGAGAGTGAACTGATGTGGCTTCCGCAAAGCGAGGCGTGCGGGGGGGCTTCAGTGATGACTCGGACGACGACGAATCTGTGGATGCCGATCGAGTGGGAGCGAGGTTGAGAGCGGCAGGCCGCCTCTTGTCTTCTAACAACGCTATTAGCCCATAGTGCTGGTGGATTCTGGATTTGGGCAAAGACATACCTTGCGGAGACATGGCTGTGCTGTGTGGGTGTGTCCCGAAAGACGAAAGAGAACAGTAAGAGATGTGTGTCCGGTATATAGGAAAGGCGCTCTCAGACTTTGGGTCGCTGACAGGAAGACCGACTCAGAACATGCAACAGATTTGGTGATCAAAGCAGGAATGAAGCACGATAGGAATCAGATTCGGAGAGACCAGCTGTCGGAAGGGAGAAAAGAGGTCCAACAGACCGGTCACTCGGGGGAGCTGGTAGTTTTGAATTGGCGCCCGCTACTGATCAGGACCCAAGGCAAAGGCCGGCCCTTCCACTGCATGGGATAGATCAGCAAGGTGTAAGTGGGACGAAGCGGAACGAGAGACTCCTACATGTAGCGTGGGAGGGTAGGATGGCGCGAGGTGAGCAGGGCTGTGATAGGTGAGAGGCCGAGTTCCAGGCCGGCGATTCGGTCGTGATGAAAATAGACGCCCACGAGAGTGGACGGGGTGGCACCGGGCTTTGGTTGGCTCGATGCTTCAAGAGACGTCTTTCAATGTCGCCTCCTCCTGGCTGGCGGACAGTGACACGAGCGGAGTCTTTTTTCCCCCGGCGTTTTCTTGAATTGCACGGCGGTTACTGGAAATATCAGGAGATCACAGGGGATACTGAGACAGAGAGTAGGATGTAGTTCTCGAGAGCAGAGGCGGAAGCCGAGAGAGGGGGCAAAGATACTGCGAATCACAGACCTGTGAAGCCAAGAATTGCGCGCATTTCTCAACAAGCGACGAATATAGAATATCGAAAGCAACCCCAAATAGGCATCCTCGAGAAGGGAAAGGGAGGGAGACAGAGAGATACGCAGAGCAGGAAGCATGCACACTTGCACAGCTCCCAGGCTCGCACAGCAACCGGTCTGCCTAGCCTAGGTACGGAAGACTCTCTGGACCGACCTCTCCTCGCCTCGACAAAGCTTACTGGAGCTTGGCGGCACTTGTCGTTGCATTCGCATGGTTCGACGATGCACGCAAGGCCAGTGATTGGACATGGTTCATCAAATTGGGAGGAGGCAGGTCGAGTAGCAACGGACGGACAATGGATGGTGGTTGGACAGAAGACGCAAAGAGGAGAGGTTTGCGGAACCCTTGCTCCTGATTCAACCACCAGCCGGCGCCAACACGTCCAAACCGACATGTCGAACCCTTGTTGCCGCCCGCCTCCCCTGTCGGACAGCTGCAGATGTGATAGGCTCAAGTGCTGCAGGCGCGTTCGGATGCCACCTGCTTGCACTTTGGCGCAGAGGGCTGCGGCCAATTAGAAATCAAAAGTGCGTGATGGACGGCCAGCCACATGCAGACTGGGCGGTAAGCAGATGTTGGATGAATGGGGGAATGGGTAGCACTGGTTGCCGAAGGGTGGCATGGCGTGGCCTTTTTGGTGAGCCTTTTGACACCTTCCTCGAGTCGCCCGAGTCTTTCTATTCTTGTTTACCCCAAGCCTGAATTGTACCCTTGAGTTGTGATGGTCAGGCATGATCAACGACCACGGGAGCTAAGTGTGTTAGCTCCTTGTGGGTCCCTAAACGGTCTTGATAGTTTGCTTTCTCTTTCCCATGGTACCAGGTGAATGTTCATCTGTAGAGTGAGGAAGTGTGCAGGCTGGTCAGCAAGACGCGCCTTTTGTGATATGGGTGTAGCAACGGCATTCGCCCCCGCTGTCGCCGGCCCCAAAATCTCACGTTGGCCACGGTAAAGCTGGGTGATCAGGAATTGCATTTGCAATCCGTAGATCTGTACGTCTGACCGAGGCGATGACGGCGACGCGGAGAGGACGAGGGCACACCAAGCCTTGTTGTGCGACTTGAAGATTGAGCACGGACGATTTGAAATGTGCTGCCAAAAGCAGAGACAATGTCGGTTCAAATCTCCTCGCGAGCTTGCACCTCGAAAGACGATCCCAACTGGCAGCCGTCAGCCGTCAGCCGTCAGCGATCGACCTTGTAACCCAGCTGGATAAATGGTGTGAGCTTGAGCTTGGGGAGTACTTTGAAGGCTTGGTCCGTGTCCCGCCGTGTTCTCCTCTGGCTGAGCTGGTTTAGGAGCCCAAGTTGTATCGTCTAATACTTTTCATATAGCCCTCCTTCTCCCAGCAAGTTTAGCCCCCATTTGCGAACCTATTTTTTACGGAAATGAACCAACCATACATGAGTGATCCGAGAAGGGTGGGTTGCACCGGCCTATTTTTACCCAAATTCGATGTCGGTGTAAAGGGAGACTGACAGTTGCGCATCTTGGTCACTTCCCGGAATCCAATGGCGGAGCTCTTCTACCGAGCGATGGGGATGGCGGATGATAACACCCTAGACGTTCGTACAGCTTGGAATGTATCAAGAAGGATTCCCTCAAGTCCGCGCAAGTTTATGTTGTCAGGTTAGTACCGCGAAGCCGGAGCCGACGTTCGGGCAATGGTGCATTCTGTGCGACGGAGATGTGGTCTGCTCAAAGGGGGGCGACGCTCTGTTTTTGCGCTATTCGTCTTCGTGATCGAGAGAGGAAGGGTTAGCAACTGTACGGCGCAATCCAGTCCCTTTGCTATTCCAACCAGAAACCGACTCTTTAATATATCTCTCTTAGACCACCGCCTGGGGCGGAGAGTTCTTTCTAGTGAATGACTTTGATGCTTAAGAATCGGTAGACTACACACAAGTCTTTAACTCTTATCCAAGCTGACAAGAACCAGTTGAGACCAAAATATCTCCAAAGTGTGAGTTAGTGCTTGCAGTCTTATTCAAAGTACTTTTCGTTGAG